TTGTCTCCTTCATATTCACCCGTCAGGTTCAAGTTAGCCAGCCAATGATATGTCCTCATCAACTGGATCACTCATACTGCAGTGTAGGTTCCTGACATCTAAAAGGTTTAGATTATTGCATATACCACTTCCGATGTAAAGGGAAAGTTTCCACTTCAAATGCCTTACTTTTATAAAACCAATTTCAAACTCCCCCGCTTGGAAGGCCATACAAACGGGCAAATGGTAGCTGTGAAAAACAACCTTTCATGTTGGCTTTTCATCAACAAAAAGGGGAATCGAACCCGATTAAATGTCGATCAGTTTCATTAATTTTATAATACTAAATCTACGATCATTCCTACCGATCATCCCTACCGGCCATTATATTGGGGTAGACAGCTAACTTGGGGGGTTATTTTGCAAAGTGTTTGAGGGACCTGAAATTTTCGGATTTTGAGAATACATTTTGCCATAAGAGGAGGAGGAGGATGATGGAGACGACGATGACAACGCCGACGTATTTGGTTGTAAACTAACTCTTGGATCGTTTTGCGGGTAAAAAGAGCCGGAATCGGAGCTTGAAACTCCTGTGCCGTTATTGCTTGAGCCTAAGGGTGAGTGAGATTCCACATTAATACCATCGCTTGGTCTTATGGGCGCATACCTCATACTGATCGGTTGGTATGTGGAGTTTTGCTGAGACGATGCAGAAGAAGAGGAGGACGGAGATGGCAGCATGTAATCTCCTACACTATATTCACTAGTTGGGCTTATCAAAGGCTGACTTGATGGGGCTCCCGGATAATAGTATGGCTGCGGATATGGCGCAGATGGGGACGACTGCATATATGAAAGCTGGGTGCCATTATATGCCAAAGGATAGGGATATTGGTTCGGGGGCATTGCCGAGGTTGATGATGCGGGCCCATTTGCAGGCGTATAGTCGTACCCCAAAGACTGAGGGGGATAGGGTTGAGGAATGTTTCCTGGGGGCACTCCACGGTATGATCCGGACGATCCGGGCTGCTCGAACGACGGATGGGCACCAGGCATTTGATACGGCTGTGTTGGTGGCATAGCATATGGTGCCGAGACGGCAAACGACCCCTGCGGCACAATGTTGGCAAAGCCACTCGGATAATACTCCAATCCAGGAACGACATTCTGCGGCGCTTGGGAAACATCGGTACGCTCATCTCTACTAAACGAATCTCGCCTGGAACGCCTATCTGACCGATATTTATCCTCATATCTTGAACGAGCTACCCTATACCGATCTCGACTTCGATCTCTTGAATGCTTCCTCGCTGGCGAACCGGACCGAGAACGGGATCTACGCCGAGAACTCCTATGGGCTGGCGATCTGGATCTAGAAGGGGATCTTCTACGACTTCTCTCGCGATCTCGTCGACGTAACCCTGTATTTTCGGATCGTTTACCACGTCCCAATCTACAAAGGGGAGAATAAAATGTCTACCTCTCTGGACACTCTCTTGCAAAGTGACTCTTCGAACCACAGGTGTAGCACCCGTCATCTCCTGGTACATGTTCCTTCGGCGGTCGTGCCCTCTCAACTTTTAATAAGTAGCCCATAAAATCCGAATTACTACACGTTGAAATGGCCTTCTGAAGCGCCTCATCAGAGTCGTACTCCTATCCGGATAAAAATAAGGAAATCAACCACAAAACAAAAACCCTGCTTCAAATCTATTACAATGAGATTTCCAAACTCGGAAAACTTTGACTTTATGTCATCTGAGGTTGCCTTGAAGGGAATATTTCCAACATACGCCCTATGAGGCCCTAGTTGAAGTGTCATTGGGGGGAGAATTAAAAAATGCGTGCAAATATTTAAATTTAAATTTTAATTTACAATTCTGAGGTGTAAAATATGTCATGTAGACGGCGACCTCGCATGTTGAGCTGCTTGAAGCCCCTGTGAAAATTGCGTAAGCTGGTTTGCAGTTGCAATTAAATAGGGCTTTATTCGATTGAGCTCAGTGCACCCAATATTTTTCAGGGATAATGGGCGAGAGTCCATTTCCTTTAGACCGGCATCGAGTTTTTTGGAACGCGCTTCTTTTATTTGCTGCAGTAACTCCCTGGTTTGCTCAAAATCGTTCAAATCATTCGGAGCACAAGAGAGTATTGAGGATGATATTTCCTGCCAATAAAACGGAAGCGAGTAAAATGTATCCTCAAATTCCTTTTCGTCTTTCAAGCACTGTTCAAGAGCTTCCATCTCCATCCACTCCGGACAAATTATCTTGCAATGAAAGCTCTTTTTCAGACTAATGGCCACCCATAAAGGGACTTTGATGAATTTGGAGGGAATGAACGGGCCAAAATCACCGCACATCAGCGACAAAATGCCAAACGAAAAGTTTGGCGACACAGTTACCAAAATATTTTCGGCACAAAAGGCCCTTTCCGCCAAACTCCAAGAAAGAAGCTCATTTGACCTAGCTGTCATAAAAGATTCCAATTTAAGTGTCGAAAATTTAAAAACTTGATCAGTAGGGTTAATTTTATTGCTTATCCGCACTACAAATGAGTACGTTCATCGCGATTTGATTTTAGGCTCAATTAAATATGCCGACATTGGGAAAAGTGCGCTGGACATTTTGTCCAAGAACTACCCATCTGATGTGCTGACGCTTGAAGTCAATGGAACAGAGACATCGGTTTACCTTTGATCTGTATAATGTCTAGACCCAGGGTTCCACCTCACAAATATGCGTAAATGCAACGAATGACCTGAGCAAAAATATTATAAATGGAGACATTAAGAACACTCTTATATTATTTTGGGTGCCAGCATATTCGTGTTTAATGTTTAGAAAGCCAAACAAAATTTACCTCTCAGGGGGCCCTTGAAGAGGTGATCGAATTGAAGGATCCCTACTTCAAGGGGCTTTCTCTTAATGCCACAGGGCTATTTTTAAAAGATGGGTAGCCTTCCTTCTACTTTCCGCCTAGTTCATTGCAAACCAAGATGGGCCTGACGTATGCCACCGCCTTTAATTGCAAGGCACTTCTCCATTCCACGCTTGCTGTTGATTTGGCCAAAGGCCCTCTGTGTTCTAACAGCGTTTCCTTTAAATACCGTGATTTTGTAATTGGCTCCTTTGTTTCTTTTGATAACACCAAAGCAATGATTGATAGCCATTCTTTTGCAATTGGAGTTGATTATCCAAATTATAAGGCCACACTTCATGCTATCAATGGCGGCTCCTCGATTATGACCACATTATATCAAAAGTTTCCGTCCGGTACAGAAGTTGGATGTAAAGTGACACATGCAAAAGCACTGTCTTCTTCATTATTGGAATTTGGATGCAGGATTCCCGTGGAAAAGCAGGCCTTTTTAAAGGTACCAATTGGGCGGATCACTTATTCTAGGCAAAAATGGACCATACCGGAAAGGCCGCCCTCTCTTACACCTCTCGTCTCAGTCAACGCGTTTCGTTGACACTTGCCGCTGCATTTGATTCTCTTGCACCCAATGACCTCAGTTCTCGTAAGCTGGGATGCTCCCTGAATGTGGAGATGTAATCTACTTCCCAAAGGTGGATGATCGAATTAAAATTTAAAATACCTAATTAAATGCCGCTTTATGACAATAGTACCGACAAATTGGGATAATTTGGCCACTTTAGAACGGTTATAAGGGAGGCTTAGGGATCAACAGCAACTGGGCTAAGCAAAAAATCTCGGGGCCCAGGGGTGAATAGCGGCCTGACATGAATGTACGTTCGATTTCTGGACTTGTCCTTTGAAAACTCTACCTTTCCATTGGCAAGTGCGAATATGGTATGATCCCTACCAAGACCCACCTACACATAAACAAGGTAAGAAAATACATTTTCCCCTGGGTGCCATTTTGTGCCCCGTTGTCTGGCAATAATCTGGCCGATTTTGGTCTTTTCATTGGCGAATTTCTTTAATCCAAGTCGCTGACCCGGCGACCCTTTCGTATTTCGAGACGTGTTGGCTTTTGTCATATTTGTGGCAAATCGGAGACTAATGAAAGATTGAAAGAAAGTGCCGATCAAAGTGGAGGAAGGATGGAGCATGGGAATCTAAATAAAAAGATTCTAAATTGAACGCCAACTTAATTTGGGCAAGTGGGCCAATTTTGACCACCAAGTTATGAAGCCCCAAGTGGGTTGACAAGTATACAGCTTTGCGAGCTGGAATATTGTTCGCTTCCTAATGCTGGTCTGCTAAAAAGGAGGTTTCTACTTTTCTTTTTAAAAGCCTTTACCAATGATGGCCAATTCTGTAGATGTTGCTATTAAAGTTGTAATAAGGTCACATTACACCAATACATTTACGCATCGGAAGACTTAATTTTAAGAAAATGGCGATCGCTCGAAATTCGGCTACCAAAAACGATTCCCGGAAGAGATCGCCAAAAAGCACTGATGCCAAAAACAGTGCAGAAAAAAAGTCAAAATCAACAAAAAAGACTGCTGGCAAAGATCGCTCGATTAACAAGTACCTTGATGAGGAATGGCAAAAGGATCTGTTGCCCTTAATATTGGAAAAATACCCTTCACCTCCAAAGGATATGGTCTCTTTTAAAGCATTGATAGAACTTTCAAGCTTTCAGGCCATTTCGAAAACCATCATCGAGAGCCTTTTGCCAGACGAACTTATGGATCGGATTCCCGGTTTGTTGTCGGAAATATTCGAGGCTCTTATCGATTATAGATGGAACAAGTTGTGGAAGCATGGCTACAATATTTCAAGTTCCGAATGCCGGAAAAGGCTTTCCAATGAGCAGGTATTTTCAGCTTTCAAATGAGCCTTAGATATATTGGTCATGGGCCTCTGAAAAGATTGTTTTTTTCTTCTTTCTTTCTGGGGGCCAAAAAATATTGGAAGCGCCAGCTTTTTACAAGAAATGTATAGAGCTCAAAGAGCATCAACTTGACCGGCGTGCAGTCGATGATTTGCTCGCATATCCATTGTCATTCTGTTCTGACTTGGAGGTGAATGTTTTTTCCTTTATAACAATGTTTGAGGAGATAGATCCGCCCGTGGTGATCGTGTAATTCGGGTTAAACCATTAAATTTATTTTAATTATCCGAATCAAGAGATGACGAAGAAAGATATGAGGAGGATGAACAGGGGGATGGTGGGGATAGTGGTTCACAGCCTTTTGTCCCAGCATGTTCGACGTTCTGTTGTTCCCGCTGGTAGCGTGAAGGCATGGAGTCAAGCACCTCACGTCTTGAGTTCTGATCCGTTGGTTTCCCTGGATGCCTATTTTGATCTGCAAAACTTTTCTGCTTTGAGTGTGCAAAATAATCTTCCTTAGGAAAGGCTTCATTGTTTGTATCTTTCAAAGTATCTGCTCGAAATCTGCTGTAATTTTTTTCCTCAAAATCTCCTTTTACTTGATTTGAGTAGCTACTTTTCCGCTTGAGCATATCAGATTGGCTTCCTGTGTCTCTTACATAACTACTCTCTGTTCTTTTTTGTTCAAATGTCCTTTTTCTTCTTGGAGAATCATCTCTGGCTCTATCATTGTGACGATACTCATATTTGGCTCTATCATTGCGGTGATCCTGATCTCTATTTATAGCTCTGCCGCTATAATGACCTTCGTCTCTGCTTCGGGAGCGGCCATTGTAACGATCCTCGCTGCGGTTTTTGCCAGCCTCGTTTTTTGAATCTTCCATTTTATCAGCTGCATTCTTTTCTTTGCCTGAAGAAACCTTGTAGTGTGGCGCCTCTCTTTGAGCACCTTCAATATTATGCCCTTTGTAGTTATTTTCTTGAAGATGATTAGGTCGGTGTGCCTCGGGGCTTTCTTGCTCTTCCTGATGGATAAATACAGACCCCGGATACGTATCATTTCTTGATGGAAGAGAGGTCCCAGACTGCACGGTATTTTGTGATGCTGGGTCTGATTCGGTATTTGCTTGCAAGTTCCCCGAATTTATATCAAAAGGCTTTGGCTCCTCAATATTGGGGTCTTTTTTTTCTTCCTCCTGCTGTTCAATTTCACGAAATGGCAATTCATCGCAAGGTTCACAGGTCTTTGGATGAAATTCCGGAGGATGAAGTAGTTCGGGTTTAAGAGATGGGTCTTTCAAGATTGCAGAGCGAGACGGTCTATATGAGTAATGTGGTGCTACGGTGCATTCATAAGTCCAATGGCCATCCTGAAGACACTTTTGGCACTTTGAGGGTGCCATTGGCTTTCCAGAAACCGTGAATTGGGCATTACGGGGAAGCATTAGTAAAAAAGTTGCGTTCAAAATTGGATCTTTGAAATTAAATTTTTTGAAATGGCACAATTTAATTGCTGGATATTTCTCTTGGCCATTCGGTTTCTGTTTTTATTTGGCACAGGCTATATCCATCCTGATGAGCATTTCCAAAATCCACAGATACTAGCGCAGCTAATGTATCCACATCTGTATCTCTCTCATTGGACGTGGGAATGGCAGTCCTCTTTTCCTGTCAGATCGATAATTGGTCCTCTTCTAAATTCTGGAATACTTTTCTATTTGCTTGGTGAAATGCCTGCATCTGTATTTGGAAGGCTATTTTTGTCTAGGCTTGGCCCTTTTCTATGGTCATTGGTTGTTGATTTGGTCATCATCCAGTCATCTTTGCTTTTGGATTGCAATGGGAGCGTTGATATGTTGTTTTTTTACGCCTCGTCTTGGACAACAATAATTTTGGGTTGCAGACCATTTATGAACTCTTTCATTTCCGTCGTTTATGTATTGTCTATCGCATGCATATATCTTGTGCACAAAAAGCACCGGCTTTGCACTGCGATTGCTTTCATTCTTGGCCTTTTAGTTGCAATTGGGTTGTGGTCTCACTCTAGCTTTGTAATTTATTCGATCCCCATTTGGATCGGCTTTATGATATTTTGTTCGTTTGAAAGTGCGGTGCCATTTTTGGGAGGGCTCTCCTTGGCAGCCTCTGTTTTTTACCTGGTAGATTGCTTTTTTTATAACGACGGAAATTTGATGTTCCCAATGATTGTAAATAACATTCTGTACAATAGCTCTGAGCACAATCTTAGCCAGCATGGAATTCATCCAAAGTATCTGCACATCGTTGTAAACATGTTTATCCTATTTGGGCCTGCTTATTTATTGCTCCTCATGAATTTTAGCATACTGGCAAGGACCAAAAAGTTGCTGTTAACCTCTTTTTTGATTCCTCTATTTTCGCTTTCAGCAATTCCGCATCAAGAACCTAGGTTTTTGGCTCCCCTTTCAGTACCGCTGCTATTTCTAACATCCTGTTGCCCTGCTTCCAGAAAAAGAGGCTTTTTGGTGTGTTGGATCGTTTTCAACGCACTGATGTGCTTGCTTTTTGGTGTTTTTCACCAAAGAGGCGTAATTATTGGTCTCGATTTGGCAAGAAAATTCCAAGCCAAACAGGTGATAGCATATGCGGTCTACATGCCCCCAAACTATCTTTTGCCGACCGATGTGGCTCTAACTGCAAATCCATCTTCGGAATATCTTTCAAGTCTTGAGTTTGAACGTCCAGCGCTTGTCGTCATTCCGGAACTAATTTTGCACAAGTTAAATTTTTCCTCCTTAAGCAGTCTGGAATTAATTAAAACCGTTTATCATTTTGACTTTGATCTGCTGCCTCAATTTGGATACACATGTAATATTTACCTGCTTCGTTAGAACAAATCGATTTAAATTTGAGAATCGATTTTAAGCCGTTACATTGCACTTGACTAATCAGTGCATGTGTTGTCTCAAAATAAATTTTTTTGGCATAGCCTCGTTGAGAACTACGTCTCGTGCACTGTTCCGCCATCATCCAAATAAAATGCTTTCGAGTGCTAATGTTACTTCTGATGAAACATCCTGTTTTTCGAGAAAAGTCCAATCATCCGAACCTTCCATTCTTCTTTCATTGCCGCTTCAGCAGGCCGATCCCGAGATTTTTTCTCTCATTGAGGAAGAAAAATATAGACAGCGGCATGGGATCGAGTTGATAGCCTCAGAGGTCCCTGATGGCGTTTTATTTTTAGAACTACACTAGCCAAGCTGTTTTGGACGCCTTGGGGTCAGTGCTGACCAACAAATATTCGGAAGGTATTCGATCAAAGCCCTAAAACAGTAGGATTGCCTGGGGCCAGGTATTATGGTGGCAATGAAGTTATTGATCGTGTCGAACGCTTGTGCCAGGAAAGAGCACTGACGGCCTTCTCGCTTGATCCTGAAGAGTGGGGTGTTAATGTGCAGCCATATTCTGGCAGCACCGCTAATTTTGCTGCCTATACCGCACTACTTGCGCCCCATGACCGCATAATGGGATTGGATTTGCCCTCTGGAGGACAGTACTTTTTTTCGCTGATTTCTTAGTTTAACCCACGGCTATCGTACTGCTAAAAGAAAAGTCTCTGCGACCTCAATCTATTTTGAATCGCTTCCCTATCGAATAGACGAGGTTTGAATGATTCCGTACCAATTTTAGAATACTGGGCTTATTGATTATGTTTCCCTGAGATCTTCGGCCAAGTTGTTTTTGCCCAAGCTCATCATATGCGGAGCAAGCGCATATCCAAGAGAATTGGACTATTTGTCGTTCAAACAAGTAGCGCCATATCCATTAATGTTTTTTAGATTGCGGATGAAGTGGGTGCATATTTTATGGCCGATGTTGCCCACATAAGCGGGCTTATAGCTGCGAAAGTACATACGCCGCCTTTTTGTTGTTAGGAAGCAGAGGATCCATTTAAATATTGCGACATTGTGACTACAACAACACACAAGGTATTTGTGTGTCATTTATGCCCATCAATAGACCCTCCGTGGACCCAGAGCCGCCCTGATCTTTTATAGAAAGAAACATCATTCAACAGGGGCTCAAACGGACCTTGAGGCCCGAGTCAATCAGGCTGTATTCCCAGGGTGCCAAGTAAGCTTTGGGTGTCAAATTTATTTAGGGCGGCCCCCACAACAATGCCATTGCAGCCGTTGCAGTTGCACTAAAGCAAGCAAACTCTGCCGAGTTTAAGCAATATTGCATTCAGCTGAAGCGCAACTGCTCTGCGCTGTGTGATCATTTGAAAGCCTTTGGATATAAGATCCAAACAGGCGGCACTGACAACCACCTTTTATTGTGGGATCTACGTCCGCTTGGTCTTAACGGCTCTAAATATGAAAGAATTTGCGAACTCATCGGGTATTTTCTTGCTTTGCACAGCTAATTTTAGAATTTCAATCAATAAGAACATTGTTCTGGGGGATACCAGTGCCATCAATCCTGGCGGTGTTCGGCTCGGCACTGCAGCTATAACATCGCGCGGCTTTAATAACAACGACATTGAGCAGGTTGCCTCCATACTCCATCGTGCCATTCAGGTTTCTTTGTCAATCCAAGTGAGGTCGCTCGTTTTACCTGTGTGTTTATAGGCCGCTTGTGTTGATCCCAAAGAGTTTTCACATGAAGCCGAAAAATCGCAACAAATCAAAGTACCGTTTTATTTGGTTCAATTTTACTAGGATCTCCGTGCTCAGGTGGAGGCCTTTTCAGGAATGTTCTATGCGCCCGGCCAATAGGTCTCATGAATACAAATCTTCGATTTATTAAAAATTAAAGAAGCGTTGAATACTTTTCTAGTAAATTGTATAATCGCTTTTTGGAATCAAATAGGCCGGTGGCTAAAAGATCGCTAGTAATGTTGTTTAGTATGGCGGAGTCTTTTGGCAATTCATTGACGCATCTAACCAAGTCCCCGTCAATAACCAATGCACCCAAGTCGCGGTTGGGAGCTTCCCCGTATCTCCATCTGAAATTAGGAAAAAAACATACAAATCATGGTCGAGATTTCCCAACGTCTGGATGTGGTTCTTTGCAACGGTCTGGACCCTCCACAGTGCCTGGTGGTCTTGAGCCGGGATGGACGTCAATAGGCAAAGCCTTCCGCCGGTCGTTGAATAAACATACGTTTCTAACGGTCAATCAATATGAACAAACCAAAGTCCGATTCCTTATCAAGGCTAGATTGCAAGGATATGCTTCCTCGTCGAAATTGGTTGACCGTATCGCCGATGTAGAACGAGGCGACTTTTTTAAGAGCCTTTTCATCCACAATGTTAGATGCATTTGCAGGTCTTTCAAGAAAGAAAAGCACACCCTCTCCATCACATCCGACATACGTTTTTGAATCACAACACGAAAATACGGCTTGCGATGTCATCCACYGTGTAGCGTATTCCTTACCGAGCTCTTCGAACATCAAAAACTCCCCTTCGTATTTGGATTTTTCTTCACTACAAACGGCGATTCGTGAGATTGAAATCGACTTCATCACATCGCCGACAATCAATTCATTATCGCTCACCGTCAGATACATGGGCAGAATTTGGGCGTACTTTTGGCCTGCCGGGACCAATCGTTGCGGCATGGTGCAGTTGTCAAATCTGAATGCCAAGATTTGTGCTTGAACGCCAGCAAAGATGAATTTTTTATAGTGGGCCAGCGAATACAGCGGACCGCCATCCCCTTTGGAATTGTTTGGGATTTTATGCTCAAATATAGGGGAAAGCGAACAAGATGCCATTTGAGCATGCACATTAAATACAAATATAGATCCCTCGAAAAAAGAGGATGCATCTTCGCCATTTTGCGGAAGCAGCCCATCTTTAGGAGATATGGAGCATCCGACGATAAGAAAGGAATCGACGACATCGAGACAAGTAGCTTGAACACCATCCAGAAAAGGATAGGAATTAAGTACCCTCATGGAGCTTGCATCGAATAGCCTCAAATATGAGTGGCCGTTTTTCGAATTGCTTAAACACCGGCCTTCAAAGGATAACGTGATAACCGCATAAATGTTGGAAAGCTCACAGTAGCAAATTCGGATAGGCATTTCCCAGCTCTTACTCGATATCAAGGGAAACGATTTTATTTGCATGTGTTGAGTAACAATTTCATCAAAACTAAACATCAAAAGAACGTGATCGCTTTGAAGCCCGACTTTGGAAATGGCCATCATTGATGGGCGACAGAAAACGTCAACGTTGGTGTTAGAAAACAAGGAAATCGTATTAAATTCAACGGTACCGGGGCTCGACACGCTAGAAAGAAACACATGCCGTAAAATCGAAGAAGAACAAAACAGAATTACCGAAAAGTCGCCCCATGCAAACAAAAAGGTTGTGGGCATGTTTCCAGTGGTCACTGAAGAAAATTGAACCGGTTTGTTTCCCAATCCAATTTTCTTTTCAAATAATATGGAGATTTCCTGCACATCTGAGGAAAGGGCCAGCGAGACCGAAAATACGAATAGTTGACCATCCCCTGTTCCAATGTTCAGAAAAATAGCATATGGAGTATCCGATGATGCATTAACAAAAGAAGCCAATTGGAGAGAGGAAATGAGCAAAGGCATTTCATACGCCCCATTTTGACCAGAACAACCGGAGCGTTGAATGACATTATTGCCCTGATCAGATAATGTGTATCTGCAAATCTCAATCAGCTTTGTTGATTGCTCCTCTTTGATGGCCGCAACAACAAAATCGCTCGGAAATTCCCAAGTTGAATACACCAAAATTCCACTGTGAGGAGATAAAGACATTAGATTCTTGGTAGCAAGAACCGAAAAGGCAAACACTTGCCCAGAAACGGGAATTTCCTGTATATTTATAAGGGAGTAATCTGGGGAGATTTTGTAAAAACAAAAGATCGATTGGCCTTTACACGAGTCGATAAAAACACAAACCAAAACATCATACAGCAGCGAGCAAAAAGACACCTCAATAAGAGGATTGTACGAAAGAAACGCAGAAGAAGAGGCGAGATCATCAATATGTATGTCCCCTGTATTATCGACACCTTCCGTGTTCATACCCACTTTAAAAATTATTACACGCGTGGGGGTGACTCTGATATAAATATCTCTGTTGTTATTTAGAGGAGAAACTAGCAATGAGGGCGAGTTCACGTCAGAAAAAGAGCGTGAAATGTCTTTAAATGAGTCCCCGGTTTGGTTCAAAAATACCGTTTGAAAATGGGTCGACAAGACGCACAGGGAATGCTGCGGAAATTGCCATATTTTTTCAAACAAAACCGAAGTCCAGTCATTAAAAAGTGCCCCCAATGATACTTGGGTCGAAAGATCGCTTCGAATTAGCTTTAAACGCGATTCGGTAAATGCCCCGCAGCATGCAATTATTTGTTTGCTGCTACTTGTGCAAGAGCTCTTTGTATCCATGTCTGATAGCGTAAAATCAAGTATCGGTCCTGTGTTTGTAATTTTAGAAATCTCCTTAAAAAATAGCCTATCAACAGACGAAGAGCAATCATGGGCAGGTGAATCCAATATGGATGGGATTCTTGGCTGCATAATCGGCTCTTCCGACAATCGAATGCAGATGGAATCTCCAAACGAGGATCCCAAGAAAAGTTTATCAAAGTCTATGAAGGTAAAACAGCTTGCCAAAATGGTCTAAACGTAAGTAATCCAAAGGGGAACCATACATGTCCTAAAACCTCAACGTCAATTTTAAATGCCTGACCGGCATCTTGCATTGGATAAAGAAAGCACATAAAGAGAATACCAAGGCTGTTTAACATGACGAGTCTTCGGAATTGAAACTTTTCTTCGTGTTTGGGGAAGAAATGGGCACTATGGTAAGCGATGTTACAGTGTAACTCTATGATTTCGCCAAAAGAAAATGCCCGGCTAGCGTGGATTAAAACGGAATTCGGGGTAACTTTACAATAGCTTATGGAGTTGGACCCAATGATGACAAACGAATCACATTGCAAGTCTAAAACGTAAAACCAAAGCCCAAATACCATCTACAAGTATCCTTTGACTTTCAAGCGGCACCTTTAAAGCCGGGATGCTCTGCATGCGTTCCATTGTTTTTGCCTTCAAATTCAACTGGAATAGCTTGATCGATTTGGATTCGGAGTTTTCCTGAACCAATGCCGAAATTTGATAGCATAAAAGAGCCGGCTTGGATAGTACAATAAAGTCCTTTATAACGAGGTCGTCAAATCTGATGGTAAGAGCGGTGTATTTGCGCGCATACCTTACGGAAAAGATCTCCTTTGTTGGGCAGTTGAATATATTGTCAAGAGGAATTACTTTCAAAAGACCTGAAATGCAATATACACACGCAAAGTGGCCGTTATTTTCGACCACAAGCCTGGCATTTTCTTTGAGAAGCTTTCCAATATCACTCTTCAAAGACGCACTGAAGACACACCGAAGATTGTATGAGCTGCTATCCCACTGCAAAACACAAAACTGCAGTTTCTTTGTGACCAGCAAGACGAAAGGAAGCAAATGGCCCTACCATCAAATGCGATAAAAACCTTTAACGAAGACATAGCAAGTGCGATGATCTTCCCGTTGATCGGGAACGACTTGAAAAACCGTGTTTCACAGCCTTCGGCATCGATGCTGTACATGTCAAGTCGCTGTCCGGTGCTATGGCATTACAACAAAGGGGTACTTTAAAATTAGGCTCTTTTTGTGGCTGGAAATTACATTTGAACTTAGCGCGTGATATACCGAATGTCCCTCATATAGCGTTAGATTGTGGAAAAACGCCATTTTCAACGGTAAATTAAATTCGAACGGGTTTAATTTAAATGTGCAGCTTGGCTTAAATTTTTGTTTTTTGCGATGGATGAACATTCAACCCATATCCACAATCTTTTATTAAATTCGCTTTCGGCCGCTCAGGATGTTCGAAAGGAGGCGGAGAAAAAACTGCAGGAATACTCGCATCACGATGGATTCCTTTCTGTGCTTCTGGGTTTGGCCATCTCTCCAAACATTAACTTGACCGCCAAACAAGCTGGTAATGCACGTTAATTTTATTGTAGGGTTGATCTTCTTTAAAAATGCCATCATCAAGGCATTTCCATCGTATCCGGCGTATCAAGAGAAGAAGCCCGATGTTGCGTGTTCGCTTAGCGCGAGTGAAGTCCAATACATTAGAGCCAATATCACGCAGGCTTACGTTTCATGCAGCTCCAACCATAGAAAGCTTCTTCTCCCGTGTTTTTCCAAATTGATCCAGGAAGATTTCTTGACCTCATGGCCAGAGCTGTTGCCGCAGCTTTTCCATTCATTGCAATCGGTGTCGGATTTGCATTACCTGATGGGCATCATTGATGTCCTGCGTGTTGCGATTGATGCCGAAAATACGTCGTCAAAGTCGCAGAATCATCCCATTTTCCTTACGGGCTTCCCATTGCTGCTGAATGTCGTTTCAAAGACACTTGGCAGCACCATGGACGATGGCTCGTTTTTGCTGTTGAAAACCATTTTAAAAACATTTTTTAGCGCGCTTCAGGTTAGCAACTTTGATTAATCCGACATTTAGTATGTGCTGCCTAAAGATCTGCAAGCAGAATCTGCCATCGATCCATGGATCAGCATTTGCGTTCACATCTTACTGATGCCCATTCCAAACACAGAGTCTATTTACCATCCAGACCAAACCGAACTGTGTCCATTCTTCAGCATGAAAAAGTGGGCGCTACACATCACCATTCGTATGTCATCGCGTTATGGATTGGACGAGCAAAACAAATTTCGCACCAAAACTTATTCCCACTTTTCGTCTCTTTATATGTCCAAGTTTGCCATCCCCACTTTGGATGTGATTCTGTCTCTTATTGAGGGCGTTTGCTCAAACAAGCCAGAACTATCTTTGCCCCCAAGACTGGTCACCCTCATTTGCGACTATTTGGATTCTGCCCTTCTTTCAAATAAGCTCTGGAAGCGAATTAAGCTGCATATCGAGCCGATCATGAAGCTATTCATATTTCCAAGACTGTGCTACACCGAAGAGGATGAGCGAATCTGGGCCGAAGATCCATACGAATACATCCATAAAAGATTGGATCCCTTTGAAGACTTGGAAAGCGTTTCATGGGCTGCTTCCAACTTGCTCGGCACCATGGTTAAAAAGAGAAAAAAGTCGGTTTTCCTTTCGTTGTTGAAATTCATCAACGAAATTTTTGTCGGGTTTTCTACCTCGACATCTCCTTATTATAATAACGTTCGTGCAAATGAAGGAGCCCTGATGGTGGTCGGAACCATATCATCCACAATCTTGGCTGCTCCCGAGCTTAAAGGGCAAACAGAGTCGCTTATCATGAGTGCAGTGCTGCCAGACATGAGTTCGGACTCGCCATTTTTGCGGGCCAGAGCATGCTGGGTCATTCAAAACTATGAGGATCTTCGATACTCTACAATCGACAATGTGCTGGCAATCTTTCAGGGCATTCTTCGGTGCCTTGGCGATGTTGCCCCAGAAAATCTCCCCATACGTATACAGGCAGCATTGGCGTTGGGAATCTTTTTGCAATTTGAAGAGGTTACGCCCCTGATGACGGCAAACCTTGCACCGATTGTGCAAAACCTACTGGACCTTACCAACCAAAGCGATATAGACTCGCTCTCCTATGTGCTTGAAAAGTTGGTTTCCTTATATTCGGTGGAGCTGACTCCGTTTTCACTGCAGCTTACTCAGCAGCTTTGCTTGACCCTTATGCGTCTCATCAGCCATCCAAAGGTCATTCAATCGTTTTCGGTCAGCGAAGAGTCGCCTGCCACCGGCTCTATCGATGAGAACGACGAAGAATTCAACATCGTTACCGACAAAACGATGACTGCAATGGGGCTGCTCAAAACGATAACCACCCTTGTGGTTTCGGTGAAATCCAATTCAGACGTAACCGCTTTTGTATGCCTTTAATTTTGTAGCTAACCGAGCAAATGGAGGCCTTTTTTTACGAGCCAATTTCGCATGTGCTGCGTTACAAAATATCGGATCTGTATGAAGACATTTTAGAGCTGATTGACTCGGTTACTTTTGCACGCAAGGCAATTTCTCAGCAAATGTGGACCACCGTTTTCCCGGTGTTGTACGAATACTATCTCAATGGCACGATGGGCGAATATTTGGGCGATCTGCTTCCTTGCTTCGACAACATCATCTCATATGGGCATGCTTTGGTTTCCAGCAACCTGCAAATACAAGCAATGTTCACCTCCATCATCGATAAGGCCATGAAAAGCACCGAGTATGAAGATGACGATCGCATCTGCGGATGCCAAATCATGGAGTCCATGCTGCTGTGCTGCAGAGGATCTATTGACCAGGTACCCAAGCCAGCATGCTCATCATTTACTGACATAGTTGATTCCAGGGTTTATTAGCATTTCGTTAGAAAACTTTCGCAAATACAAGAGCAAACGCAGCATCGTTCATCATATGGAGGTGATTCTCAACTGCATCATCTACGACACCATGCTGACTTTGAACGTATTTTCTGCAAACTCGGCAGCACTCCCATCCCTGATAGACATTCTTTCGTACATTTGTGCAAGCAAAGCAGCATTCAATAGAGTCCACGACAAACGACTTGTTGTCATTGCCATGAACCAGCTTTTACGATGCAATGTAGACCTTTCGCCAATTTTCCCGCTTATCTTTACCCTGCTCCAGGATGCATTCGAAACGCTCCCAAAAAGCCTGGAAAATAGACGCTTATTGGAGCACCATGCAGAAAATGGCGATGATGATTCCAACGAGGAAGAATACTATTCCGATTCGTATGAGGATAAGGAGCTGTCCGACGACGACGAAGCGCATTCCCAGTTTTCCCAGGAAAAGGAGCTGCAAGCGGAGCCCCCAGAAGAGAACGTAGACGATGCACATGAGGATTCGGAATGGGAAGAGAGCGATCTTGAAGAAGAGCTTTACTACGAAACGCCGCTGGACGGTGTCAATTTGTACGATGTAGCGGTTTCCACCATTTCAGGTATTCGTGGCGTTTGGATTGACTTTAGAATTGCCCGGACTAAACTCGTCTGCATTTTCATACTTTAACCAGTCCGCTGAGAAAGATACCTACTTTTCCGCGCTCCAGGCATTCAAAGCGTATTCCACTGCCCTCCTTGAAAAGACTTCCACCCCAACAGGGCCAACCGCATAAGTTATTGCACATTAAAATCGACAACATCCCAATTCAAAAATTAAATTCAATTTAACATTTGTGAGCGAGCATGAGGGTATTTGACCTTTCGTATGGGATCTCAAAGTTGGCGGCCCAAAAATGTTATCTTGCAGAGGTAACGCTGTTCTCTAAACGTAGCTTGAACCAACTAGCCTGGAGCTGTTTTCAATTTCGCCTTTGTGCTCCGTAAAATCCGGCGCCTCTGTGAATTGTCAATTGATATCATTTAGTCCACATTTGCATACAACTCACACAGAGGTGATTTCACACATCCTACCAGATCCGGAGGAGTACATGGCTCGTACCAATTGGATAGACACCGCTATCCCAAAGGAAAAGATCCCGGCGATATTTCTGAGGCTAACGCCGTCAAGTGCTGGACCCGAAGGCGACCTTGTACTTGGACCAGACGACATCCCCTTTGATGAACATACGGGACCCGCTGGTGATAATGATTGTGATGATGATGGTGATGCAAATCCTGCTAGCCAGGAAAATATGCCAGGGAGCGACCCGGCACAGGCAGTCATCATTGCACTGTATCCAGATGGTTCTTATCCCAAAGACAAACCGCAAAGATATTTCTCTGCGGAGTCTATCAAAAAAATACTGGCCCTTTTCCCACGTGTAAAATGTCTGCTGACAGATGCCCCTTCTATGGATAGGGCATGCAACGGTGGAATCCTTGCGAGCCATGAGGCGTTTTGGGCCGGGCGCCAGGACAGAACAATAACGGAGCTGTGTCATCTCCAGAGTCTGCCCTTTGCAAGCGGCACTAGAGGCATGCTCCAAATCCAGGTACTGCCCATTTATGACGGAGCTGACGCAGTGCCAACCCGTCCACTTTTTCACTGCAAATAAATTTTTTATTTTCGTTTTTAATTTCACCATGCCTGGCATTGTGGAAACTTTCCACGAAATCCTACATAGCTTCCCAGACTATGCAACGCCAGTGGCAATCATCAAGGCATTAATTACACACATCTCCCAGTCATCTGGTATTGCCATTCTTTTATGTTTAGAGGAGAACACCATGGCTGAATTCACCATTGCCCTGGAGCGACTTACAGGCGAGCTCTTGCGCGCCCTGAAGGGCAAGATCTCTGTGCGCGCAGGGTGCGAGCTTTTCTCTCGATTCGCAGCTCGGATGGCCTCGGAAGACACAGGTGTAAGTCTCGCTTGCCTTTGATTGTAGGATGATTTCCAAGCGTTTAAAACGTCGCTCGTGCAGCGGGCCAATTCTTTCGTGGAAAGTTCCTCGTCACATCGCCAAAAAATATCCACATACGGGCTTCAATTCATTCCCGATAATTCCAAAATCCTGGTTCATTCATATTCACGTGCCGTCATTCAATTGCTGGAGGAGGCTTCCAAGGACCGTCGGTTCTTTGTCTTTGTGACGGAAACGCGTCCAGGAAACCATGGGTAAGCCATTACATGGAAGTTCTTATTTTTAGAAGGGAAATGCAGGCCCATTTACAGGCAAAAAATATACCTTCTCAAGTGATTCTCGACGCAGCCGTGGGCTACTTTATGAGCCAGGTCGATCTGGTGTTGGTTGGTGCCGAGGGCGTTGTAGAGAATGGCGGCCTTGTCAACCAGGTTGGAAGCTTCCAGATTGCCGTGCTAGCACAGTCTGCACATAAGCCGTTTTATGCGCTGGCCGAATCGTACAAGTTTGTTCGACTGTTTCCGCTGGGGCAGGAAGATCTTACGCGACTGCTTGCTTCGGAGATCACAAAAGGTGGTACCCATGGGTACGTTGATAAGCATGTTGTTGAGCCCGTGGCATCCACTGGCATACAGAAGACTCCCTGGTTTGTGACCGGGAATTCGGTTATTGCATCACACGACGATTATCCGTTAGTCGATTACACCCCTCCTTCATACATAACCTTGCTCTTTACAGATCTCGGAGTACTCACCCCATCTGGCGTCAGCGACGAGCTCATCAAATTTTACTATTAGTGCCTTGGTCATTGTTTGTTCCAAAGATTTATCTCAACCCACCATTTAATATAGAACTCAAAATCCTACTTAAAGTTGCCACATAAAGATAAACACCAGGAACTATTCCATGGCTTTTAAAGAGACACATATATGCGCACATACCACATGGCATCTTGGATAATCGTAGGACAATACGAGTTTTGCAAGAGGCAGTATCAGAAGATAAGATTCAAATGCACTTTGATGGAGCTATTTACTTGAGAACTACAATCAAGGTAAGTCTTTGTGGAATTGGCAGTTAGACACTTATTTTATGACAAACTCTGCACAGGATTTTGGTGGCAAACATTCAAAATTCTAGGGTTAGTGTCTCATTAGAACGGCCAGATTAAATTGTAGAAATTCGATTGTAAAGTTAGCTAATGGCACAGTGGGTCTCCATGGGACCACCTGAAGCTGCCCTCCGCCGCCTGGGCGGGCGCCTTAGGGCCCTTCTTAAATCTGAAAAGGGAGAGGATGCCGTTACTTTATCGGTCAAAATCATGAAAAAAATAGACACCCCACCCACGGAGGACGTCTTGACTTTGCCAAAAGGAGATGGAGTCGGCTTCAAAAAAGCAGAAGATAGCATGGCCCTTCCAGTGGCAAAAGTATTTCCATGCAGCAGTAGGGTTCTTCCAACCTTCGAGTCAATTTTGGCGTATGCATCAATATCGAAGCCTCCTCCCCCTCCTCCAGCATGGGGCTCCCAATGGATTCGCCGTCTGATGGACAGAGATTGGATCCGCCACATTATGAGGCAGAAAGCGTCTCGAAAACTCGGACATGTTGATACCGTTAAGCCTTTAAATGGTGCAAGAGTTACCGCAATTGTTGGCATCCATGGATGGGCGGTTACGCAAAAGATTCTGCAGAATCTTATTGGAATGCCGTGTTCTTCCGAGCTCTATACTACGCAAATGGCTGCAGCTCTGCGAAGAGGCCATATCACCAATAACATGACAAAAACATCAAGTCACACAGGTGTGGATGAGCATATCGTCATCGAAGTATGAATATCACTTTCGTTCTCATCAAGGTCCCACTTAATGGACATGGTCGCATCATGGAGCGCGTGGAAGCCTTTGTCCAAAACAGCGCGCTAAAAGAAGCGCTCGAAAGGTCTACTGACTTGATCGTCGTGGCACACTCGCAAGGCGTCCCCGTAGGAACGTTGCTTCTCGAACGCCTGCATGCAGAGGGTGCTTTGACAGGGGTACAAAATATCACGCTTGTCGCGATGGCTGGTATATTCCATGGACCTTTTCCACAGCTTGGTATCAACTTTATTGCCTAAACGAGTATAGGGAAGAATATCCTCATACAGTACATGGAAACAGAAAGTTCTCGTGAGCTCTTCGAACTGCATGCGCCATTTATGGTTCCGTCAGTGACCGGTTCCGATGATAGCCAGGTGCCCAAAATTGTGTCCAAGTCTCCCGCTACCGAAATGGCCGCGCGTCTACGAGCTGCACTGCTCCGTTTGCTGCACGCGGGTGTAAGGGTGATTGCAGTGGGGTCGTGGATGGACCAACTGGTCCCACTATACTCCTCTACGCTGTATGGTCTCTTTCATCCGAACATCACTCGGCTACTTTACATTGAGGGCAGTGGTGTGGCCCATCACCATTCTACTCAGTCGCATGGCCACGATCATGTAAAAGAGATCCAGGAACGGGATTCGTTCCTGCCATTATTGCTTACACTCTGTCTTTCCATCAAGAATGCTGGATTCTCAGACCATGGCTTGCTAGTCTATCTTTCAGAATGGATCGCAGGGTCTATCGTCAATGGAGATAATGGTCATTCCTCCATTTATGCGGATCCATTGGTTTATGAAAGCGCCGCCCAGATCATTGGGCATTCACTTTGTTCAAAAATGGAGGCTCCAAGGTATGTGCCCTTCGAGGTTCCTGAAGAGCCGAATCATTACCATGTGCCGTGGATGATGCACGCACTAGTAACAGATTCAAAGTTGCTTGCCGTCCCGATTATTAGACAAGAAATCGATGCCATGGTGTTAGCCTATGCATGTTGGCGACCCCGCAGCAAAGCGCTGCGAGACCTCAAGCGCAAATTGGCAGCGCTCGGAACATACGGACGTGCCAGTCTTTAACGGTTATCAAGGCGAGAAATTTCTCAAGCTATTTGTAAAAAACTACTCTGGCTCTTTCTCAAGAGCAATCAAACCGCAAATTGAAAAATAAAGTTTATGCGATCATATGAGGCTGCACCGAGGAGCAGTCTTTGCACGCTTGTGCCTGTGGTAGTATGTCTCCAAGAACTTCAATTGCATCTGATTAATAGCACCCCGCCGCTTTCTGCGGATGAAAAGCACAGCATCAAAAGGATCCATCCCGTGTTCAATGAGTGCAATGGCAATCAGGACAGGAGCGCGTCCTAAACCTGCAATACAGTGGACAGCAACGGTAGATCTGGTCGTATCCTCATCATACTCTTCTAAAGAGTCGGCTGCGTGCAAGGAAAAGGTGCGTTTCAACAAGGCAAGCCATTGGTGAACGATAGCCCCTGGCGGCGCAGCACCATCTGGAAAGATCCAATCCTAAACGAGGGTTAAAAATGAATGCCCTTACATGCATTCTGATCCCAGATGCTTCGACCGTGGGTCGGCTATATGTCGGCTCACATACCCGTACAAGATCGGTGACATTGTGTCGATGCATCTCCTTGATGTAAAGGGGCACGGTCAGCTCTGAAGGGGCATCCATCAGAAGAAAGCGCATCTCACGATAAACGATCAGGCAAGGCGGATTAACCAACCGAAGCTGTGGTGAAAGCTGCGAGCCCTTTAGCAAAGGAGATGGAGAGGTGGTAGCGGTAGGGAAACGGGTTTCAGTGGATTCTTGCATTCTAATCAGGGCGGCCTTTTTGGGCGTGGGCCAGGGAAACGAAAGGATGGATAGTTATCCAGTAAATAAACGGGTATAGGCAGTGTCGTGATAAAATCTCCTACCGCTGCAGAGACCAAAGGCAGTGGGAAGCAAAAAATCAAAACTTTTTATTGACAAGCCTCTCATTGGTGTTGCTATGTGCGACTTGCGACAGGGCCAAGTGTACGAACTTTTACTTTGTACCAAACTTTAATTTAGGGTTGAGGATGGATATTGAATTTCGAGTGAATTTTAAAAACTAGATGCTCGAAAGATGGAACATAGAATAGGCCTTTTCGCCCGTGATGTCTTTGGAAACATTAAGGAAAGGCGGAAGGTCCTTTTTTTCGCTATCCGTTGTGCAGTTTGGAGAGGGAACAACATAAGCCTCCAAAAGCAATAGCCCTGGATTTGGTGATTCAAAGAGATCTATCTGATAGTAACGCTCCTTCCACAGGAAACATCTGCGTTTTTTGATGATAGGACAATGGGAAGGATCCGTTTGCGACAAAAATAGCTCGTATTCTTTTGGAGAAAGAATCCTTCGCACTTCTACGCGCTCGCCGTTTACAGTCTTTTGCTGAGTGATCGAATACGAAGAGGAAGAAGAGAAGCCGCGTCTTCTTATTCTGGTGGTCGAGTCGTCCGTAGAAATCAAATAGTCGTGGCGCACATCAAAGTCTCTGAACGAAATTTCTGCTGGAAAGACCACCGCCTCGTCTATGGACGCATAAGAGGCAGGTGTTTTGATAGCCAACCCCTTATCTACGGATGTTGCTGCAGATGGCATGAGAAGGTACTTTTTCTTGACAATTCCTTTACCAAAACGAGTATCCGACAGCCCGACGCGTGTTAGGATTGCTTCGAATGCACGCAATTTTTTCGTCTCGAAATCGGTAGAGTTGTCAATTAGTGCATAGTTCGGGTGCCCAACCCAGGCATTTGCGAGGGCTCTGTCAACATCACGGGCATTTTCCAGGCTTTCGTATCGCGCTTCATTGGTCGCCATTGTGTAAAACTTTTCTGCCCCAATGGCAGACGTCATAAGATGAAGCACAAGATCGTATCTTTGGTCCCTGAGGAGCAACTCATCCATATTTAGTTCGGAAAGAATGGAGATCCACTCTGGACGCGGGATATACGCACCTGGATCCATAGTGCCTCTGTCGCAGAGAATGAGCACGTTCAGCCCACGCTTGATCATAGAACTAGCTACAGAAGTGAATGTATCCTCAATGTTAAGCATCACTTTTAAAAGATGCATCTGAAAAAGCTTTGCTTCTTCACCGGTAAGGTCGTACCAAGAAACACCGGCACCAAGCAAGATGGTCGCAGTTTCAGGCACTCTGAATACTTTCCAGCCGAGATTCTCAAACATATCGCATAATGCCACTTGTATCGATGTCTTTCCACCACATGGCCCTCCAGTAAGGCATATCTTAACTATGCGGCCTTGCGGAGATGCTCCTGTAATTCCGTTGTCGCTCATTGATGGCAATTAGTGTGCAATGTATAAATTTAAAATTTAAGGCTATATCCAGAGATTTACTAGTCCGCGTGCAAATACAATTACGTGGAAGTACTCTGAAAGGCCTAGATTTTCTAAATACAGCATACAAATTTGCACATTAAAACCACTTAATTACGCTTTAGTTTTGGTCTGAGGTTAAAGTTTAGGCTAGGGTTAGCTTTTACTGGATATTAGCCCCAGCTTTTGTGGGGCGGGCTATAGGCTGGTCCTTTCGTGGCAGATTAATGACAGATTCCTGCCCCTTTCCGGAATCACTCCCTGCAGATTCCTGGCTCTTTCCAGACTTATTCCCTGCAGATTCCTGACCCTTTGCAGACTCACTCCCCGCAGATTCCTGACCTTTTCCAGGCTCATTTCGTTGCAGACTAATGGCAGATCCCTGGCCATTTCCAGGCTCATGTCGTTGCAGATTAATGGCAGATCCCTGGCCATTTCCAGGCTCATTTCGTTGCAGACTAATGGCAGATCCCTGGCCATTTCCAGGCTCATGTCGTTGCAGACTAATGGCAGATCCCTGGCCATTTCCAGGCTCATGTCGTTGCAGACTAATGGCAGATCCCTGGCCATTTCCAGGCTCATGTCGTTGCAGATTAATGGCAGATCCCTGGTCATTTCCAGGCTCATGTCGTTGCAGATTAATGGCCTTTTCCGGATTTATTCCCCGCCGATTCCTGACTCTTTCCAGACTTATTCCCGGCAGATTCCTGACCCATTTCCTCGAATGTCGAATTAATCCAGGACATATAATACTTAATCACAGATTCTTCTTCAGGAGCAATTAGGTTTAACTCTAAACGAGAGTATGGATAATATTGGGGCAAAGGGTTACGAAATAATATACGTTGAATATTATAAGATATAGGACCTTTAGTCAAGAACCTTTTCAAGTAGTTTCTGGCAGCGACAAATTCAGCAGAGTCATATAGCTTCTTAATTTCAGTCGTATTTTTTGGAAAAGTAAGACTCAAAGCAATCGCCTCTGAGGTTCTCGATTGCAAAATTTTAAGAGAGTTTTGTGCTTCTTTCAACATATCTGTATTAGTCCCATTTATGATGGGCATAAATCGCTCTTCAGGGTTTAAAAGTGTATCAAGGGAGCAATTATAAAGAAAAGAATTGACCATATCATTAACGTGTAGATTTATAATCGGATAATACTTCAGGTCATCGTAAATTATGACGAAATAAAATTGATAGCTTTGGGCATCTCCGATGGGTCTGTAGCCTGTAAATTTTTCAGGAAACGAGTGATTTTTGAATGTAGAATCTTGAAGAATATTGTAGACAAGGTTTGGTGGGAAATTTTTGATTAGTTTCAAAGTTTCTGGTGATGCAGTGTCAGAAAATGATAAAGGGTCCGGAAATAGTTGCGTGGTGTTGGGGAAAATAGTTATATACGTCTCTAAAACGTTAACCCCGTCAAATAAGTTCGGTATGTTAATTTTAGGACGATTTGAATTGGGATTACTAGGCTCGAGTTTTTTCATGGCCTCAATAAACCCATAATAGCGCTCTAAATATATGCGAACCAGTAGCTTATGGTCAAATACCAAGTTCTTTCGGCCAAATATCAAAATATTGAGAAGCGGGGTAAAAAAGTGTATAGCTAATAATATGAGGAATCCGTACGCTAAAATATAATTATGATCTTGAGCTGAGTTAGCAGGTTCATCTGATTGCAAAATATGGATCAGTAAAGCAGAAAGAGTAACTATTGCTATTCCAGACCCCATGATGAAAAAAGGTTTCTTTGAAGGATGCTCTTTGTAATTACTGGATGCAGTCCCCAAACAAAGAGTATCTTTAAGATCTTGTTTCCCGCTGGTTTTTAAACGCGATAGAGCAAGAGAATCAGGAAGAAAGGAGGCTTTAATATTATTTGATAGCTCACTAGCTTCATCAAAACTGCTATCAAAATACCCCTTTAGCGTGTATACTAAGACAATGGTAACAGCCGCAGCAAGCACAGTCGTCAACGCAGCAAACCGGAGTTTCATTAAAAAAGCATTCGAATGATTTGCTGAAATACATTAGCATGTTTATTTAATTGGCTGCGATATGCATTTGAAGCACAGAAATGATTGGTACATACCGTTTGTTTTGCAGTTTCGGATAAAACATTTAATTCATATTGGCTGGCACAGCTACCTAATCCTGATTTAAATAAATTCAGCCACTCATATGCCTGCAATTACGTTTAGAGACTGTATATTCTCGTGCTCTATTTTTGCCGGGACTTGGCCAGCTGTTCCGACAGTGTATGAGGTCTAAATTGACCTTTGTACATATTCTACATCTTTCAAGACACCAATAAATGCCGTCCTGTATGAAAGAAAACGTCTAATTCAGTTGAAAGTTACTATAAATATTGGAGTTATCAGTAGTTTTTTAATGATACGGTTTTGGGATGAGATTTTTTTGATATTGGAGCCGTTTTTTCAGCTTGAGATTAAAGTTCTCTAATGTAGGAATAATGGGAGTATAGACTAGACACCAAGTGTCGCTTTTAGAAATCGGACACACAGCGTGATATAAGCTGCTGTATAAACACGGCATGTCTAGAGAAACACCCCGGATATAAAATATTCTTGAAGTCCGGGAATATGAACCAAAATATTTACCATTTTTTAACGCTTCAACGTCTTTATAAGGTTAACTCTCAACTGAGAACAAGAACCGGAAGTGATTTCAGGCAATCATAACATCTTGCAAATGCATAAGCACATCTGGATATGTCCTTTTTTTAGAGGGCAAAATAAAGAAAATTTGATTGTCCGAACAAATTTCGTTTCTATTCCAATGAGATTAAAACTGGCCGTTGAAAAAGTAGGCCTTTTAAAAATGATCGGCTATAAAGCAAGTCCGACAGAAGTTGGATTTAGTAAAATCTCATCTACCATAATTTCTAATCTTGGAAGCGAGGATTTGGGAGAAAATGCAATGCTTGTGGACTTTAGAGTGGGAATGAGCTGCTCCTTTACCAACAAAATAAGCTTCAAATAATAACCTTGAAATAATCTAAAAAAGGATATCGAACCAACATCAAGGATAGAAACTAACAAGAAAGGAATCCATGGATGTGGGGTGTCAAGATTTAGGATCGATACCAATAGGGTCCAACTCAGACCAGGCTCAAAATTGTCGCACAAAAGAATTGCGATATACAGGGAAATGTATCCTCGCATCCGTTCGATCCAAGAATCATTGGTTTCATTTACTGAAATGCCATCTGGTTTCATTTTGTATCCAAGTTTTGAAAATGAAAACCCAGAAGGGTTTGATCCATTTAATAGAGGACATCTAAATGCTAGGGTCCCCAGCAATTTGACAAGAAAGTCTGGAAGGATTCCAAATTTCGATATGCCATGGCACACTCGTGCAATTGATACGGCAGCAGGAAGATGGGATGCTGCCAGTATAGATGCCTGGTCGCATATTTTTTCTGAAATGAAAAACTGGCAGAAATTAAGCAAATGTTCGTTTTGAGTGCCAGCCGCCAATACGATCTCTTTTAGCCCGTTTATCTAGATGGAAAGAATTTTCGATATGAAAGTACTAACCACAATGCTTATTTGAGAGGAGGATTGAGTTATCTGGCAAATTTTTGTATTGATCTTCATTTTTAATCCCAGGATCATTGGTTTTATGTTCGGAAATTTGGGAGACGAAAACTCCTCAGATATCAATAAAGAAAGGCTCTGAAGACATCAAAATATTAAAGTAAATACCCTTTCAGCCCAGAGAAAATATATAACTCTTGATGCATATAGAGACGTTGTTTCTTCACCCTCAAGCTTGTTCTTCGTGGCTCCACCATAAAGCTCAGTACCAATCGTTTGCGGAGCTTCTTGAGTTTTTGTAGCCTCAACAAGCTTTTGCTCCTGTTTTTCTCTTTCCTGCTGTTCGTTTTTCTGTCGTTCTTTTTTCTGTCGCTCTTGTATGACCAAAAGACGGATATGTTCTGCAGCTCTTAGTCTCTCTTCATCTTGCCTTAATTTTAGTTCTTCTTGAATGATCTAAAAATAACGCTGACCAAGAGTACTTTTTCGGCAGTTGCCTGAGCATTCACATATTGTTCGGATCTCAAAGAAAGAGAAGAAACCCTCAAGTTAAATGCATCAGAGCACAATACCTTTTAGCCTCTAGTTCATTGAGTTCATTCGAAATCTTGTCCACGGCAGTTCTAATTTGCTCCTGCAGATCGTCTACCAATTGTCTGGAGGAAAAATGGAAAGCGTTAATTGTGGAAAGTACACTTTTATGGTTCTGCATTCAAGACGAAAAACTTCAATGTAAAAATAAAATTGACATGAAAGTTTTAAACTGAAACTGAAACCGAAACTGAAACTAAAACCGAAGCTGAAATTGAACCTGAAATTGAAACTGAACCCTAAATTAAAACTGAAATTAAAATTGAACCCTAAATTAAAACTGAAATTCTATATTGTTATATTAGTAAGTGGATCTATATGAATACTATCTACTTGATTCAGATGGAAAACCTCTGAATGTGCAATACTTGCTGCCCCGTGAAAAATCAGTGGCAGTGGAGAGGAATGGTGTGGCTTTAAATGGCGTGGTGTTTTGCTGTGTATTGGATGCCTTTGAATTAAATCTGTGTTATGGACAAGCTGAGCCTCAAGAGATTTGATATAATTGACCGCTACAATAAAAAAGATAAAATGCCAACATAAACTGATACCTTTTCTAAGAATAACAGCCTTAGAATCCGTAGTGGCACTGCAAGCTGGGATTATTTGCTTGAGCTCTTCAAAGCCGTCATTGATGTTTTGCCGACGCTTCTGCTCAGAAACAATGTGAGCCTTTTTCTTTTCAAGAATAATATCGTCTGCACAAAGCTTCTTCCTTCTTTGAGGCTGTAAATCTTGATCAAAAGAATATGAATGGCCAGGAGGCAGGATCGACCGGAAACCAATTAGTTCGTCCTGCTTATGATGCGTGAAAATTGCATTAGGTGAATCGATCGACCGCATTTTAAGAGGGCAGGCATCTCTAGAAGTAGATTTTGAATCTACCCCGGAGAATGGAGAAATCGAAGGAGCATGCAATATGGTCTCTGCCAAGAGATTGAGATTTACAGCCGTTTTGGAGAACGATCTAACTAATAAAAATACAGTATCAACTTGTTACTTTCGTGCGAGGGAAATATCCGATAATCGGAGTCACTTTCACAGATATCCGTATTTTCCATTTTTATTGCCAAAGGAGGATGTTGTAAAGCGCCAACACAGAGGTAGCGGATATACATATGACTGGTAGTTAAAAGAGCAGCCAATTAAAATTCACAAATAAGTTTCAACCAATCAAGCGGAAGGTCTCCTTCAATTGGCTACTGATTTATGCCAAATTTCTAGCAGTTTGATAAAATGAGCAATGTGCCCAAGACGGCGGGATTTCGGCATCATTTTCCCAATATAATCACAATTTCTTTTTTGCGGCATCAATTTCCCACTATAGTGATAAAATGAATGACGAGAGCAAAAATCACATGATGCATATCAAGAAAACCCTTGCACTAAATGTCGAGTCTATCGAAAAGTGGTATCAATCTGAAAGATGGAAGTATATTAAACGTCTGTGGAGCGCTAAAGATGTAGCGGTGCTTCGGGGATCTTTCCCGCTGTTCCAATATGAATCAGATATTCAAGCAAAAAAGCTTTGGAAAATTTTGCAGAAACATGCCACAAACAAGACTGCATCGATTACTTTTGGGGCCTTGGACCCGGTGCAGGTGATTCAAATGTCAAAATATCTTGAAACCATATACGTGTCCGGATGGCAATCGTCATCAACAGCATCATCGACCAATGAGCCAGGTCCCGATCTTGCAGACTATCCCATGGATACTGTTCCTAGGAAGGTAGAGCAACTATGGCTGGCCCAAAGAATGCACGATCGAAAGTTGACATTTGAGGCGCTCACAAGTGATGAGGCTCCATATGATGTGATGAGGCCACTCATTGCAGATGCAGATACTGGCCATGGGGGAATTACATCCAACATCAAGCTTGCCAAGCTATTTGTTGAGCGCGGCGCAGCCGGAGTTCACGTGGAAGATCAGGCAGCAGGAACCAAAAAGTGCGGCCATATGGGTGGAAAGGTTCTCGTTTCCACGCAAGAACACATAGATAGATTGAACGCTTTTCGGCTACAATTTGATGTGATGGGAGTGGAGACGGTTCTGATAAGCAGAACAGATGCCGAGGCGGCAAAGCTCTTGCAAAGCAACATTGATCCGAGAGACCATCCTTACATTCTCGGCTCGGTCAATGCGAACGAGAAAGGGACGTTAATAGGTGTTTTGAATGAGGCTAAACAGCGAGGTGCCTCCTGCGCTGTTCTTCAAGAACTCGAAGAGAAATGGCTGCGTGAGGCTCAACTTTGCACCCTAGAAGCGGCCTTGAGAAAAAAGGTATCTGGAGATCCTGCAATCATGAATGAATTTAAGAGAAGATTTCGTGGTGCCATGGCAGAGGAAATATTGCACTGGGTTCGCCATTCAAAAGGAATAGATTTGTATTGGAATTGCGAGTCTCCAAGAACAAGGGAGGGATATTACAGGTACCATGGTTCGATTGAGGCGGCTACTGACCGTTCCATTGCATTTGCCCCTTTTGCAGATATGCTTTGGGCAGAGACGGCCTGCCCTTCTCTTGATCAAGCTCGTAAATTTTCGGAAGGCGTACTTGGAGCACATCCAAAAAAGTTTCTCGCATACAACCTTTCTCCCTCATTTAATTGGGAGCAATCGGGGATGACGCGTGACCAGATGGCCGGCTTTACTAGCACACTTGCACAATTGTCTTTTAATTGGCAATTTATAACCCTAGCTGGATTCCATTTAAATGCATTGGCAACGGACCAATTTGCGCGTTTGTTTTCTTCCAAGGGCGTGATTGCCTATGTTGAGCAAATCCAAAGAAAGGAAAGAGAAAATAAGGTAGAGACGCTTGCTCATCAAACATGGAGTGGTGCAAAGCTGTATGATGAATATATGCGCTTGGTGCAGGGCGGCGTGACTTCCACTGCTGCAATGGGAGAAGGTGTGACGGAAAAGCAATTCACCGCGTCCACCTTCATAGCATCGAAATTGTAATTGCGTTGAATTAAATTTTTGCATTCTAAAATGATTGTCGATGAAGTCAACCACGCGGGGAATCAGGATAACGCCCACCTGGTTTGCACGCCCATTCGCTGCACTTTTGAGGGATGTCGACAAGGCCTGTTTGACTCTGCATCTGGATTTTTGGCACATCTCAAAAATCGGCATAAGCTTTGCGTGTTCCAGGCGTTTCAAGTAGCGCCATTTTTGGAGTCCTATTTGAATTACTATTTCACGCAGGATAATTGCGAAATCCAAATCAGGAGTAACTTTTACTCAAAAGACGGGATCACATATGTTGGCGCTACGCCGGAAAACCCCGGCCAGCTTGCGGACGCTTTGATTCGATTCAAACTGGAACATTCCCTGCTTTCCTGCCTTTTAAAACAGCAAAAAGAGGATCTTTGCGCCCCTTTGGAACACGAAAAATGCTTCATATGCAATGAAGCTGCGGGGCAATCGTATCCGGAATACCTTGCACACTTAGATAAGTCGCATGGGCTGGTTCTTGGTAAAGCATATAATCTGGTCTTTTTGCCCGAATTTATCGCTGTACTGCGCAATCGGCTTTTGAAAAATTTATGCTGCATTTTTTGTGACAATTGTTTTGAAAGCGTTGATGCCGTGAAGACCCACATGCAGGGTAAAAGGCATGCTCGAATCAATCCGCTTGATACCTCATTTGACAAGTACTATCTTATCAACTACCAGGTACCTACGTTTTGCGTTGACGCATAGAATTGCATCGATAAGGATGACAATTGGCACGGTGCCGTTGACTCCGACTCAAGCTGGGGTGAGTGGCAAGAGTCCGATACGGAAAAAATCAAATGTCTGTTTGACGATCAGGATTTTAACGACTTTGACGACCTTTTTGAGGGCCACCTCCCCGAAATCCATGGGCTTGATTTGAAAAAGATTTCCCGCCAATCTTTGCATTCGTTTTATGACCTTGTCAAAATAATCAACTATTTGCGCGAACGGGTATTGCTCGGCCTGCTGCTTTACCTGTAGGTGCAAAATGGAGACTTTATCAAGGAGCCCTTTAATGCAAGTTGCCTCTCACAAAGGTCTTTATGGGATCATGAAAAGTACTCAATCTCATGGTAACTTATAGATATTTGCGCCTCACGCTTGAAAACGATCCTTTTATTAGGTATTTGGACGGAATTTTTGTGAGCGATGAAGAGTCAAACTAATGATGGTATGCTGTGCAAGCCATGGGTAATGCTCTTCAAACGACACACATCGAGTAAGAGAGCGACCTTAGGTTGCGTATACACTCTAGAAGCTTTTTTGACTGACATTTGTACGCATTCAGACAAATGAAAGCTTCGAAAGCTGCATGAATTAATAAAGCCTGCATCAATTGCGATTTAAATATTTTCGCGGAGTACGGGGGTGCACGGACGTTTAATAAATTATAACCCTAGCTGTGACAATGGTGCCACGCATTTTCGAAAACTTTCTTTCGCCTAGCTGTGATAATGGTGCCAGGCATTTTCGAAAACTTCCTTTCGCCTAGCTCGGATAACATTTCTTCGTCTATATTTTTGTTTGTCCAATTGGGCCGCCAATTCTTTTTTATAATTGGCCGGAGCATGGACGGTTTGCATAATTTGCAAAGGAGGGCAATTGAATAGTTTGGCACACTCGGAAACAGAATATTTTTGGGGGTCTTTTTGACGAAGCGTGAGCAGTCTTGAATGTTCTTCCTCCGATAGCGCTCTAAATGGAGCGTGCGATTTTGGTGTCCTCGTGAGCGGAGGAAGAGGCTCCTGTCCGATGTCAGGAATCGGGATGTCCGGCATCAGTTGCTTTAATAGCGGAGATTTTAGCGACAGCTGCAACGTGTCGATGCAAACAAATTGAGATCCATCGTCAAGAATAAGCGGGGCGCCTTCAAATAAATTTGGGGCATTTGGGGTTTTAGAGATGTTGCTAGTGACCGGCTTGTTTGTCCTTGCCTTGATGTTTCTTTTGAAGCCTCTAGTTTGCAAATGCCTAGCTGCGAGGATCGATTGAAAAATTGAGGGGCATGGCAGCCTTGACATCAAAAGAGGACACAGCAAAGATGATGACATTTTACAAATTGATTTTATAAAAAATGTCTACAATTTCCTCGTTTAATTCAAGTAGCTCGCCCACTGGCCAAAACCATCAATTTAACATTATTTTATCTGGAGATAGGACAGTAATGAAAAGCAGACCAACAATAACTTTGTAGATCGAGTTTTATCACGACGAGTCGGAGCTCAGCGTTCCGCTGCCGTTTCAAAAGATCGATAAAATTCCAAGAACACCTTTACTGCCGCACCGCGGTGATCATGATGATCATGATGGTGACCAGCAGCGTGTAGATGATGAGTCCGAATATCAGCCCGAATATCAGCCCGAAGATCAGTCCTCAATTAGGGAGGACGTATCATGTGGGTCCGCGTGGGAGCGCGAATCAGAGGCTAAGAAGGTTTGGCCGGTCACCGAAATCCGCGATGCAAATCAAGCAAAAGAGTGTTCAGAAATTAAAAGGAAATGTCCAATTCAATGCTGTCGATGTCAAATCATGTAAATTTATTTGTAAATAAAACAACCCTTTCCTTCAATCAGTCTTCATTGTCCACTTCTTCGCGTATGTCTCTTTTTAGCGATTTGCCGGTCAACTGAGCGACGATCATTTTGAGGATAAGAAATGTCCAATAGACATCCATAACAAAGATAATACACAACATTAAAAGATGGGCATAAGCAATCATCATTTGATTCTCTTCGCTTTGCAGTAAAATAAATAGTGGGTGTATGACAAATGTTGGATAAATAACACATCTGGAAACGATAAAGATCAACGCAAAGGACACGAAAAAGACGTTCGCAGGAAGATGGAGATCCGCGTAAAGACAAAGCTTTGCAATCTCCATAAAAGGATCGCAAATATCATGAAGAATCATGACTACCATGCCAATGCGTACCGACCCAAGTAAGTAGTATGAGCCGATCAGCAACAGCAGCGTAACCAAATGGTGAGAAACCATTATCATGAAGTCTTTCAGATGAGGCTCCACTAGCAGGCAAAAGAAGCCATACAGGTATGAAGCAATTGCAAGGTGATAATAAATTGTGGTTTTAATTTCGATTAGCGGTAAAGGTATAGCATATTCGTGGTAGTTTGGCAGCCAATCCGCCGATCGCAAGGTCTTCAATCCAACAAAAACGAGGAACGAATAATTGACGGCCTTCCAGAACGCAACGTTAAACTTTACACGCTTCAAAGGCTCTTTGTTACAATTATTGCTTGCGCTCAAACAAGCCGGTTCCTCCTTTTTCGCCTTGGACCGTTCTCCATTGGAATTTCTCTGCCGTACACCAGGGGCATTGACTTTGCTCAACATCGACTTGGCATCGGTCTTTTGCACGCTTGAGGAGCAGCTCTCGGCTGGCAAAAGATATTTTGCAATCAAAGATGAGATCATGTGCACAAAAAAGTGAAGTATCATCCAAAAAAGAAGGAAAATTACCAAAAAGAACATTCCAGACTTGGCCATGTACCATCGATCGGGGGAAGCAGTTGGATTGCTGAAATTAATTCCAATTTTTTCTCCAATGAAATAGACAGGCTTAGAAATAGGATACATCATAATGTGGGTGGTGGGATTCTAATATTGCAAAATGAAAAATAATTCTGCCATCGAGCCCCCAGCAACGCCACATCAGCTCTCGCCCAATAAACAAAATAAGGTTGAACATTGCACAATTTTGCAAAGTGCCTAAAATTAAATTCTGGTGCCATAATGATTGGTATTTCATTTTGAATGTCAAAACGGGACCCTGTCTCTTTTGATGACCATGACTGGTATTTATTTTACCGCTTGAGCTTATTATAGGCAATCGAATGACTTTGTACCGACCGTGGCGATTGGTGCGATTTCCGGCTTTACTGCAGCCATTTTCGCGTGTCCTCTCGACGTTTTAAAGATAAAAATACAAACACTTCCCGTTTCAAACGCGAATTTAGCGGTCGGCGCAACTTCTATATTTAAGGTGCAAATTTATGATGCCTTATGTTTAGGCTATCATTAAGGAGGAAGGGATCCGGGGATTGTATAGAGGGCTAACCCCAACTCTCCTGGGCTATCTCCCTTCATGGGCGATTTTTTTCTCCGTTTATCGCAACACAAATGCACTTCTCGAATCTGAAAACTCTATTAGCACGTCTCCCTGGATAAAGCATTCCGTATCTGCATTGATTGCCGGATGTTGTTCTGCATCCATCACCAATCCACTCTGGGTGGTGCGCATGAGATTAATGGTTTCCCTGCCTGTTGTAACCTTAGTCATAGGCCCAATCCAAAGACACTCCAT